ACCCCTGGGAGGAGCCCCGGGCGCCGGGCTACGGCTGGACACAGCCCGACGACCCGCTCAGGGATCGCCTTCCCTCAGGAAGCGCCTCGTAGCGCCCCCCGTTGCAGCTGCACCGAGCCGGGTGAGCCAGCATCAAGAGCGCGGGGAGCCGGGACCGCGTCTCATGGCGCCCCCTGGCGGCAGCGCCGGCAGGTCACAGCTACAGTCCTCTTTTCTGTGGGCGAAGGGGCGGAGTCTGGTTTCTTCCCCTTTAAACGGGACGTACCAAGAGTTGTGGCTGGGGGGTTGGGGTTACTGTATGTCTCATGGTGCTTACGGGTAGGGACTAGGGGCGGTGGGGAAAAGGAGAAGTCCTGAGTTGCGCAGGGTCACAGCCGCTGGGCGTTTTTCCTCGTTTTCCCATGACCCCAGCTCCTCCTCTGTGGGCAGGGTGAATAGTTCAGTCCTACCAACATGGCCGCCACCATGAAGAAGGCGGTGAGTGTGGGAGTAGGGCATGGCGGGGCTTTTTCTGTTCCTGGCTTCTCCCTCTGCTATGGGCTCCCCTCGAGGAGGAGGACTCGGCTCCTTTGCCGCCTCCCAGGGTGGGCGCGCCAGGCTCTCCAGCTGTCGGGGGCCGCTGGTACTGTGATGGCGCGGCCATGTCGCCTCAGCGCTGTCTCCCGCTGCTTCCCGCCCCTCACTCCGGCACCCAGAGGTGCCTCCCTGAGTCCCTGCTCCCCCTTCACGTACACCCCTGAGCGGCAGCCCTGTGCGGAGCTGGAGCTGGGCGGGGATGGTCCCTTTCGCTAGGCCGCTGCCGAGTCGGAGCGGCTCCGGGTTAGGCCCTGCCCAAAATACGTCGGTCGTTGTCGGTGTGTTAAGATCCTGGCGTTGTTAGCTTGGTTCTATCGAAATCGCTCATCGTGCTATCAAACGTGCAAGTGCGGGTTTGGGTACACCGGTGTTACGGAGTCTGTGCTGGTGCAGTTTGTTGTAAACTGGCAAAGGCTCTTTCTGGCTGTATAAGCTGCCTGTGATTGACCAGCAGCGGGTCGCCTGCCGCAGCCTCTGCTGGTCTGGGAGAGTCTGCGTGAGGTGCGGTGTGTTTAAAATCTCCTGTAGCACCATAGCGCCTGGTAGCTATCCAGTTAGTATCAAATGATGTTGCTGACAGATTACACTGACGTGTTAGGCTGAGTGCTGCGGTGATCACGGAGCAGAGGTGTCTGGCTCAGCTGTCAGTGCTGTCTAGGCATCGGGATGGCTCATGTTTAATCAGATGTTACTAGGGCCTCTGCCCAGCTGAATGTGAGTATTGCTGATGTCCTTGAGGAGGCATTTTAAGGAATCAAGTGTGTAAGCAGAATGTAGTGGCTGTAAGACTATTTTTCAGAAGCTTTGTAGGAATAATCTTGCAGTGAGATTCAAGTTAATGTAAGAAATGAAGTCTTCATTTTGACCTCCTCTCCTTGCAGGCTGCGGAAGATGTCAATGTTACTTTTGAAGATCAGCAGAAAATTAACAAGTTTGCAAGAAATACTAGCAGGATCACAGAGCTGAAAGAAGAAATAGAAGTGAAAAAGGTATATTTGCTTCAAATATCACTTATTCTTCATTGCCATAAATTAATTTTCAGCTGTAACACAGAAAATAAGAGCTTTGGTTTACTGTAAGTAGTGCTTTGGTTCTAATATAGGATTTCTGATGCTTTGAAAATAGCCAGAGAGCATTAAAGTGGAAAAAGAAGCAATGAGAAATAAAGGCCATTAGTATATATTTCTGCGTGCAGCTCTTAAAAATTAGTTGTCACATATGAAGCATTGCCTATATATGATGGCTACTTGTAGTGTTCTTAAGATTTTTGTGCCCGAAATTGTGTTCATTTTTATTTTTTATTGAACCAGTAAGGGAGTTGGTTGTTACGTTCTTTCAATATGTTGACAGAGATTGTCATTGTGAGCAAAGAGGTTTTCTTTTACAAGGCTGAGGAGGATGCATAATTCCAGTTTTCTTTTTTAGCATTAGTTAATTTTCCTTCAACGTCAGTCATAGCACTTCCAAAGAAGTTTTACTGAGTTTTTAAGAATGCTAGTACTATCACAAAATGTTCTCTATAATTACTTTGCCTGATGTAACATTTTTACAACATACATCTTTTTACGTTGATATTCCATTGATGGCTAAAGGTGCTGGGACACTAAGCAAACCTACTTTTTCAATAAAATAATTAACGTTTGCCATCTTACTAATTTTTTTTCTGTTCTCTAGCTAAATTAAAAAATTCCTGTGTAAGAGTATATGAGATATTAGTGAAATTTAAATCTGCTCTATTTCCCTTGTCTAGAGAGTTAATTATCCTATTAATGACAGATAATGAATATTGACTAGAAGTTTCTACTGGTACAGCTCCATATAATGTAATACTTAGGCTAAATTACAGGATTGGAACTGTTCTATTAAACATGTTTATATCATGCTGGCAGGTAGGATATTTGTGCAACATGTGGACTCACAGAGTTCATTATGCAGGTGATAGCATGGCAGTGTACCTGTTGAAATTGTTTACCTAGTACGAAATGACCATCTTTCTTACGTCCTGATAAACAGAAACAACTTCAGAATTTGGAAGATGCTTGTGATGACATCATGATGCTTGATGATGGTGATTCACTTCTGATACCCTACCAAATTGGAGATGTCTTCATTAGTCATTCCCAAGAAGAGACACAGGAGATGCTGGAGGAGGCAAAGGTTTGTCTGGGGAAAAGGGAGCATCTTTACTGTACTGGTTGCTGTAGTGTGATGAGCATTGGAATGGAATGATCTGCTCATCCTTTGAACCTTTTACTTTCTGTAGTTCATGTTTGATTTGTGATTGAGGAGGGGGATGTGCATGCATGGTAAGTCATAACTGGGATGTCAATGTACAAAGTCATGCTAGCCTTTGTTTGGCCCCAGTCTTACAGCCTGACTTGGCAAAAAGTTGGCAGAGGGGTACCTCTTCATCGTTAATATGTTGCTGACAAACAACTCAGTTTGTTTTCCATAACTAGTTTTTTTTTTCTTTTTTCAGAAAAGTTTACAAGAAGAAATCGAAACATTAGAATCCAGAGTGGAATCAATTCAGAGGGTGTTATCTGACCTGAAAGTTCAGCTTTATGCAAAGTTTGGAAATAACATAAATCTTGAGGCTGAGGACAGTTAAAGGTGTTCTAAATATACCACACAACTTCTCCTTGTTTTATTAAATGTTTTGATAACATTGTTCCAATTACATTTAAAAAAATCTACCACTTTATTTTCTTGGGTTTTTTTTACTTTCCTGTCTTGGGTTCCATCTATTTAATGAGATCTTTCTTATTTTCGTTACTGCAGTTATTTATTTGTTCAGGAAAGCATTAGCTTCATACTGTTGATAAAGCATCAAGTTTGGAATATTTGCGTTGTTTATTAAAGTAATGAAGTCAGGCATATGTAGTTTCCTTGGTCTTATTTTCCACTCAAGAAAATACTGAAGTATAAAAGCAATAGAAATGGGGAATTTTTGACTTGCACTGTAGTGGCTGTTTGATAAAGGTTTCCCTAATATATAGGGCATGATTCACCTGTAATGTTATTTAGCGGTTTTTAGAAGCCCTCCTGGAAATAGTAAATCTTATCCTTTGTCGTTCGATCTTAGCTCAGATAGCGTAAATGCTGTTAGCTCAGTGCACAACATGCCACAAGTTGGCAAGGGAGAAAGGAGGGCTCCTTAAAGGTCACTTTGTTATTGAAGAAAACCTTTTGGAGTCAGTCATATTCAGTCATTGACTACTTTGTATTCGGGAATCACAAAAGATGCTGTGAGTCAGAATGGTGAGTCTTAACTTCTAATTTTCCTGAACAATCATTTTCTAAATCCACATTTCTATGCCAAATGAATGTCAGAATTATTCATAGATGATGTTGCTATATCAGCATCAATCCCTGGAACTATGTCTCCATCAGTTGGATGTAATTTTTAAATGTCTTAAATTTGCTGACTCCTTAAATCCTTAAAAATACTATGTACTGTCTCACTGTAATTCTACTTTTGGACTTTCGCTTGCTTTGATTAATGTATTGTTCCATGGAAATACCTCCTACATTATGACTTTATTTTTAAAAATTAAATCTTAACATACTTGAATAATCTTTTTAACCTATTTTCCAGAACAGTGTGGACAGAGAATTCAGTTGGTGAAATATCAATCTACAGTCATTATTCTTGATAGAAATAATCAGAGTATGACACGAGTATATTTTTATAAAGTAATTAATACCTACCTATAATATCAGTTGTGTAGCATCTCTTCTTCAAACCGGTGGAACGTGGAGGGGGGAAAAAACCCTACTTGGTTTGTCTGTTATCAAAGTAGTTTTAGCAGGTTAGTGATACTGAACTTCAGTACCCCTCAGCAGGATCTCACCAGTGCATTATCATTTATTAACTGCAGCATTTTAACTTACATAGTTGTTTATGTAAGTTTATTAATGTTGTATATAAAGTTTTGTGTAGCCATAAGAGAATGCTGTCTTAAATAGTGAAGATCTAATACCTCAGCACGAGCACTTTTATTATGTACAGTGTATATCAACTGATGGCTGTAAGTTTCAAAAGCTGTGCTAATGTTCTGTCTAACCTTGGTGTTTCCCAAATTGTTTTTTTTTTTTTTTGTTAGAATTCCAATGGTTCGTAAGCTCATGCTGCTGGACATGTGTACAAATACCCTGGCTACAACTGTGCAGATTTTTAGCCTTGTTCTCTAACAGGTTGTGTTTTTAATTTAAGCCTATGCCTCACGAAAAAAAATTTCTTTACTTTCTGAGTGAATACTTCGTTGCTCTTAGGTAAAATGTGGATATGGTAGCTATGGCAACTCTGCTGCTCTATCTGCCAGTCAGTGCTTGCAGCAAATCAAGTGTGTTGGGACTTCAAGGAGATGTAGGTGTTCCTCTACATAGCTTCTGAACCCTTCATATAATTTCCTGTGTGGTTGTCACCAAACTACTTAAAGCAGTTCTACGTTGACTCAGAGTTGTTATTTTAGGCACTAAAAAGAAAGAAGATGGCCAGTTATTTGATAGCAGCTGATGAGAGTATTATGGACTTGGGTGACTCAGCTCTGCCTTAGCCTGCTTTATTAGTTACAGCTTAGTCGAAAACTGCCTCTGAGGACAGGTTCAGTTTGTGAGCTAAGTAATGTACAGTTACAGTCTTAGGAGGTGCTGGTATCTTGAGTTTTTTTCTAAACAGCCAAACCATTCATTTGGTATGTTAAAACAAACCATCCAATGCACTTGTCTTTGTAGTTATAAAGAAAATGTAAAAGACTTCTTCCAGGTGAAAACTGAGCTAATGATGGAGTCTGACCCATAAGGAGAAGCATCCAGCAGATGGCATCAAAGAACAGGAAACCTGTTTTACAGTAAGGCCATGCCTGGTCTCTGCCTGACAGCGCTGGCTTTAGTAAAGTGACTGAGTAGCAGTCCATTGAGTGACACTCCAGCAGTCACATTCTCGTTAATTGGTTGGTAACATTTTAAAATTCACTCTCAAAGTGACTGGTTTGCAAGCTCCGCTCTTCTGAGTATATCGACAGCTGTGTGGACTGCAGGTGTTTAAAATGATTGTTATCTCCAGATGGGCCATAGTATGGATATGGCTTCAGTACAGAGAATTAAAAAGCAGCTAGTAGGGTTTATCTGTGATTCCAGTGGCAGCTGTAAAGCTGATGAGGACCTTAATTCAGTGAAGGACCTAAGGAGAGTTGGCAAGGTATGGAGAGCTTGCATTATCCCTACTGTTCTTTGGTGTCCTAGAAGTAGAATTGTCCACATATACAGCCCTGGTGTTTAGGGAAGAGACGACCATTAAGCGTGTTCTTGTGCATGCTGAAAGTTTGTCTTCTCTTGTGCTGGATTTCAGCCCTTTGGGGTTTGTTTTGTGACCCCACCCCCTTATTTTCTTTTTTTTTTCTTGTTATCATGGGGTTGGCGTATTTTAGGCCATTTCACTAGCTTTTTGTGTACGATGCATCTTTCCTGTTTGCTTAGTCCTTACTACAAATAGTATGTCCACACAGCCTTGAAAATCTAGGTGCTTTTTTGCATGTGTAACATGCAGTTTCCTTGTATGGTTCAGACAATTGTGTTTGTAAGTCAAGCAAGTAATTATTCAACAGACTTCTTCAGATTAGTCTCTGGATTTTTGTAGCTAACAGAACATGCCATCCCATGGTATCATTTGATATTTTATGTGCATAAAATAGAACATGCAGGAACCTCCTCTTTGTTCGTAAGTTGTCACTGTAGCAGTTAATTTACAGATCGTCCATCAGCTGCTTGAAAGTAGTTAACAGAGTCCTAGTTTTTCCTTTTAATAATCTTTCTCCTCTGTGAATATATGTAATTGTTTTTCAATTGGCATTTATTCTATTTAGTGCCCCATCATCTGCCATTTCCATTTGATGGATCCGAAACTTCTGTTATCTCTGATGTTTGCCTTACAGTTATCTTGTTCAGATAATGTAAGTCTATGAAAAAAACTGGTCCTCTGTGCACCTCTGTACATGTCATGAATCATTTAGCTGCACTTGACAATATAATTTTTTTAATATCCTTGTCAGAATGCAAATAGTTCACTGTCATTCTCAGTATTGTCAAGGAAGTGACATTTGTAAAGCACTTCAAAGGTGAAGTGCACTGTAAAAGTGCTAAGTGTTATTGGGCCAATGGCCTCTTATGATCTAGTGATTGAATTAGCTATTCAGCTCCATCTTTGTATTAAAATAGTTTCCGTACTGTTTTTGCTTTGCAAGCCATAGAGCCACCAGTGGCTGGCTTTTCACTTGGCTGCAGCATTTAAAATAGGTAAACTAGCAAAACTGCAGGCTGTGAAATATAACTCATTTCAGTGCATGTTATCAAGGAGATTTAGCTTAAAGTTTTTTGAAGTAGCCTGATAAAAACTATGTAAAACATAGTGGGACAAAATTATTATTATATTTTCACGGGCTTGTTTGTGAGTCTTCATCTTATCAGCTGATATAAAATTGTTTTCCACATGATGATCTCTAGTATAACCTTCTCCAGTGGAACCTTTATTATTGCTTATTGCTTTTGTGTTGAAGATCCTTGGATACCCTTACACTCCACAATATAAATGTGGTTGATAAGTCAGTAGTTAGAGAAAGTGGTGTGTAGCTGAAGTACAGGTAATTTTGCGGTATTAACTATCACGTCAAAGAGCAAAAGAATTGAATGCTGAATACTAAAGCCATATTTTCTGTAGGAGCAACAGAATTAAGTAGTTTGGTTTGCATGAGTCAGTGGTTCAGATAATTTATCTAATGTTATTCTAACAGTCTGATTCATGAAAGAGAAAAAATGTGGATGCATATAGGCATGATAGAAATTATTTACAACCAATTTTGTTACATTGATTATATGAGTCACACAGGAAAACGAATCGTTTTGTAACTAGATGTGAGCTGCTGAATGGACTCCACAGAATGCAGTGCACCAAAGGCGGGTTTAAGTGGCCTTGAAGGGTTTCCCTGAGCAAGAGATGAAACAGGTTTACAGTTAAGGGCGACTGCATCCAGCTGTTAAAAAGATGTAATTAAAAAAAATATAAACCTGAATAGAACAAGAGCCGTTTACTGCAGATTTACAAACATATTTTGTTTGATGTTGCTCTCCAAAGCTGGTTAGTGTACTGTGACTTTGATCTCAATTTATGAACTGCAGATATCCTTAGGTGGCCGTGTATGCTCATGCCAGCAAACCCCACACTTTGCCCCACCACTCTGTGTCCCCCAGTGTTACAGTGCAAGTTCATCAAAGGATTGCTTCAGGATAAGCGTGGTGTTCTGGTCTGGCATTGTTACCATTGTACCGGGGAGAGGACAGACAAGATGCACTTGATGTTGAAATACAGGCTTGGCCAGTACTACACCTGGATGTTTCCTTAAGTTGTTAGGAAAAACTCCTGTTTGCATTCTCAACACAGCCTAGCACAAGGAAGCAAAAACATTGTTCTGTGGATTTTCAGATTCTGTCAAGTTTTATGCCTTTCAGGCATGGTACAGAAGTCCAGCATATTGTCACATGTTTTGATGATCGTCTTGCCTTGTTAACTGCAGCTAATAGGGTTGTGCGTACCAGACTTACAGTGCTCTGGTGAAATTACAACTTCTAAAAATTATATTTCAAGTTGAAATTTCTGTCTCTTAGGTGTCTGGATTGAAGTGTGAATTAAATC